TGTATCTGGGTGTCTGCTTGTGCTGCAATCTCTTTGTGATGCCTCTAGCACTCCATTGGGATTTTATATATATATGTATACAAAAAGAGTCGGGGCAAAGTACATGTGCACAAACACTAATTATCATAATGTTTGTTTATATAGACTTTATTTGTAGGAAGAGATCATTCCATGACTTCTTTTCTTATGTTGCACATTTCCTTGCCTCTGATCTTTTTATTGTATGAATAAAATAATATTACTAACAAAAAACATTGTAGTATCTGTAGTTAATGTTGTTTTTAAAGGGACGTTACACAGGAACTTGTGCTGTGTGTTCCATTATTATAATGTAGGTTTTCAGTTGCTGTTTAGTTCAGACACTGTTCAGTGCGTCCAAAAAGCTGTCTGTTTAGAAAAAAATAAAAAATAAAAAAATAAAAAATAAAATAAAAAGCTGTCTGTTTTCTACAGTAGCATGTAAAAAGTTCCTGCTCCCAAGAAAAATAAAAAAAAAAGTTAACTATTAAATGTTCTCATGGCTGTTGAAATCATAAGAATGTCATAACTATCACTTAGTGTAATTACCTCCTGATTATGAAATATTTGAGAAGAGATGAACCAATTCACACATTTGAGGTTAACCTCCACGGCTTCTGGGTTGAGCAATGATTGTAGAGCCTGGCAAGAAAACACTCAGCCATTTATGGAGGAGCTACTGCTGCATGTGTGCACGTTTCTTGATGCAGTTCTCCAGGATTGTAGTAAAAAAGCAGCAAAATGTTGCTTGAGATATTAGTAGAAAATCAAAATGATGTCGCTGTATCATTTTTCTTTTCCTTTTTAGTATTTTCTGCAATGAGATTAAATTTGAGCTAAAACTTGTGAATTATGGGAAGCTGAATTCATGCACATACATGTTTTTCTTTATAAAGAGATCACCTCATCCTAAGTAGTAGCCAGTGTATTATCAAGAACTCCGGGAGATCACTGGATTAGGCAGGTGCCATGGTGATAGTTCATTTGCTCGTTCTAACTGGATCAACAGCAGTAGTTTTTAAGAATCCTTTGAGACTCTTTTCAGCTTTAGATTCATATACATTTCATGCAGTATGTGGGTTTGAATCAGAATAACCTACCTACTTCCACAGAATGGCTCATGCATGTGTTTCTCAGATATCTCTGGAGCTGAAAAAATGACACGTGCATGGAAGTGTCTGCAGTTCACTGAATGACCACTAGAGGCTGCCTCTTAAAGTGAGTTACTTCCCATGCACTCTTGTTAACATGCTCAAATGTAGAGCAGCTAAAGTGGGATTTATCCTTCTGGATTAAATCTGTATGTTGAGCAAAGAGTATGATGTAACTGCCAATCCTTCTGAAATCCTACACCATAACTTCCCTATATGAGCAACTACATGTCACGTCAGCACAGCCTGCAATGACTGTGATTCGCTCCTTCAGTATTATTGTTTCCTACTACACATTTCTAGTTGCTTCTTCTATCATAGTTTTTTCAAACCTACTTGAAGAGAGCAGATCGACCTGGCGATAGAAATTCCACCGCAACCCAAAGCTTTGGATGTGAAATTGCAGAGCAATGCAGGGATACCACATATAAATCCTAGCAACAGCACTAGCCAGTCGAGTAGACAATATTGTATATAGATCCAACAGAGAACAAAATTAAACCAGTGGTCTGTGTACTTTGTTTGAATTTTAGTTTTTTTCTATGTTTGTTCTTTAGCATTTATTAGCTAGTATCTGGACCAAAGACTATAAAAGATGGACAAAGCTGTGCTTTAAACCTGCATTCTTTTTATGGCCACATGATGGCGATACGTGTAGTTACAAGAGGATTTGCAGTCCTATAAAAATCTTTGGAACAATTACTTTCTAACTTGACCTCCGTAAAGACTTTCCTTCTGTGTTTATAACCACTCGATGGCATCATAACGGCTACATCTATGTTTTGCTAGCTAATAACCAAATGTGCAACCAATGCGATGTGATTGTGCAGCTGGAGAAAGTCACATACACGTCTACTCAAGTTGGAAAAGAAATATTTGGTTAATCATGAAAAAAGTTTAGCCTCTTGTCTTTATGAGGGAGATTGCATTGGATTTGTCGTTTAGCATTAGGCTGTAGCTCCTACGTGCCCCGCAATATAGAGTGACACAGATCAGGTAAAGTTAAGAATTAGAAGTAATCTGGTATCATTTAAAAATTAAACAATAAGATGCAACATGTCACAAACATGTTGTTTTCAGACTACAATGCAAAAGTACCCAACAAATGACTTCCCGACTTTGGAAATTTGACTGTTTAGCTCATAACCATAACCAACCACCTACTAGGAATAACTTAAAGCTCTTTTCTGAACTGACTGATCTCTGTTGTATTTTAGGCCTGCTTATAGAAAAAGTTGACTCGGTGTATATCAGCAGTTAGCTGGTCCCTGCCTGTGCAGCTATCCTTACAAAAACTCAGAAATTAGTTTTAATGGTCATCAAACCGCATCTTTATTGATATATACTGAGGTGTCATTAGTATAGTATTTATTTATTGTCATTGTCAAGAACAATGAAATTAAAGATAAAGGGAGGTGGTCAAATGTCGTCTTTTAGAGGCAGAGCGTGAAGGAGCACATTAATAATAACTCTCTGCTCTCATCCAAATATGGCCTCTTCAAAAGCAACCAAGATGACCAACAGCCAAAACCCTCTAACTTCATAAACCAATGGGCGACTTTCATGTGGAGAAGCCCATCTTTTATATACAGTCACACAAAAAAACTCGATAGGAGTTTGTTTTTTCACAGGACTTTTCTACGGTACCGTAATAATAATAAAGTATAATTAAAATTCTCCTTTAAGAGGAATCAAATTAAGTAAGTGAATGCTGTATCAAAGGACGGAGTATCTAACAGACCTTTGTTTCAGCCTGCATTTCAACTTCATGTAGAAAAGTGAGGCGTGTGTTTGAGTGTACCTTTGCATGCATAAAGAAACATGACACAGCTTTTCTTCTTCAAATATATAATCTTAGTTCAGTCATACAGATATATACATTGTATAATAAATAATATTTATAAAAACATAACATTTACGATTATAAAATAAAAAGGGAATTATTCAACTTTAAAACATTTGTACAAAACTTTGGATATAGCGGGGAAAGATGAGGGGCCTTTGGGGGTCTCGGTAGGGTGGGGGACTGAACACAGAAAGGTAGGCCCAGGTAGGGAGGGCTGTGTAGAAGATGACGTGAACACTAAGCTATGTCCCAAAGAGAGGACAGCCTACACACTACTGGGTAACTTGTGTGTTTGTTCTTGAATATAATTAATAGGAAGCAGGTGGGACTGTCAGAACATGTTGTGTGAAACCTCTCTTGCTTTGCTCCACCATTGTGAAGAGCCAGCTCGCTGTCCGACGGTCCATCCATCCTCTTCTGTAGTAGCTTGTCATGCACACGCACATACGCATCCCTTATAAATCATCCGTTCTACGCTTCATGTTCTCAGAATCAGATGTTTTTTAAAACTTCGTGAATTGGCAGTCTTTACAATCCACCCACAAATCATAGCAATTTTTGTTAGTGGTCTTTAAACCGGTTTCTTTTGTTGCAAGTTACAATGTGCTGACACTGAAGTCTATGAAAAGCATTCTTTTGATTAAATGGCAGTAATTTGTTTTTCCCAATATTCTAAAAATCAAAACATGACGGCAGGAGTGTTTCGGGGTGTACTGACAAGAATACGAGTTCATAAATCAACCGTAAAAACCTCAACTGTCCAGCTGACTGAAAACACAGATGGAAGGATGTGACAGCCAATCAGATCTTTCTCAGCCCATGTTGTCTCCACGTGTCGTCACATATCCCCTTATTTTCTTTCCCTTTTGTTCCCAGAAGTAAAAGATTTTTGTTGAGACAAATGTTTTTCTGCACCGAAAGTGATATAAAACAAAACAAAACAAAACAAAACACCAGAGTTAATATTGGACATAAGCTGGACTCAAGTTTGATGCACAAATTCATAACGACACAGCCATAATAGGTGACCTTCACACATATAATCAGAACTTTTCTGTGGTTAGTTTTTACCCCCAGACTCCGTAAGTTTGAATGGTGAAGTTGCATGACATTTGTAGAAACCATGAGCGATTTACAGGGTGAATGTGGTAACAGCGCCGTCATTCATAAGAACTGCTAGCTTGCAACCAAGAAGAATTTGCTCACATAAACAATGCTCAAATGTTTACCACCTGGAGTTATGAATAGTGCACATAAATACATATGCACGGGTTGTTAGTTAGCAGAACGAGCATGCCTCCTCCTGCATACCTCAAACCCCAGCTCAGTGGTAATATTTCAGAAATGTGGGTTTATTAAAAAATCAGACTGAAGCACATGTCTTCTAGTTGACTGTCGCAGTAGTCAGTCTGCAGGGAAGGAAGGGATCAGCTCAGTAGTTTAGAAAGGACAGGACTGCGGCACTTCCAGTGCCTCAGTTCAGTTCAGTTCAGTAGTTACAAAGTGATGGTTTCCTGGGGCTGCTGACGTGTTCAGTATTACTTAAGAGTAAGTGATTGGGTAGAGAGGTTGGTTAAGTTAAAAAACAGCAACAACAACAACAACAACAAAAAGGTAAACCAACCAGACTGGCTGGAGAAGTGAGGTGTTAGTTAGAAAATGCTTTTTACTCAAAAGCAAGGAGAGTCACTGTTTTTGTTTTTTTGTTTTTTTTACTGCATTAATCTCACATGTAAAAGTGTTACTGTACATGCCGAAAACGCTGTGTTGGCATGAAGGGTGGGAAATAAATAAAGACAAAGGGGAAGGGAGGGGTAGTCATGGCCCAATGCTGCAGGGTGAGGACGAACGAGGGGAGAGTGGCAACTCTAGCTTCTTCCCGTAAGAGTGGACCAAGTTATCCATCAGGTCAACACGGGACACATTCTGCTCAGATATTATGTAGTTATGGGGGTAGTGGTTTGGAAGATAGATTCTTGTGCATGGTTTGTACAAAAAATGGTACAGAAGTATCCATTACTGATGTGCCATTACCCATTAGGGCTTGAATGTGTGTGGATGAATATGTTTTTGACTGCGCTTGTGTGTGTGTGTGTGTGTGTGGTGGGGGAATCAAGGAAGTCATGCAGGAGGTGGGGAGTTGAAGGTCCAGCAGTCAGCTTGTCTGTCTCACTTACACGTGTGTACGTCGTAGACGCGCACACACTCCTGACAGCTGACGTAGCAGCACCAGTGGAAGATGCAGTGACACTTCTCTTTGCGTTTTTCAGTCCGGGTGTTGTGGCCGCGTCCGCAGCACAGCAGGTCGCAGCCCTCAATGCCGTGCGACGACACGTTGCAGACACGATCGCGCGTCCCAAAGGAGCCCGTCTCTGGGTTGGGCTCGCAGAAATTGGGCGAGCCCTCGTAGTACACCAGGTCGCGCTCAGTGGGGTGCTTGAAGAAGGCGTACTTGACTCGCAGGGTCTCCACCCAGCCACGAGACTCGCGGTGCTTCTCCACCACCATCTCTGAGGCGCTGTCGTACTTGTCCTTCAGGTAGTCGCCCAGCATGCGGAAGTCCGGCTGCGCCCACCAGCACGTCTTCACCTCGCAGCTTCCAGAAAGGCCGTGACATTTGCAGCGCAGGTGCATGTGATCCAGGATAGTCTGAGAACGAGAAAAGAAACCAGAATAAAAGTCTGTGCGTGGGAAAATGTTTTCTCCCTTTTTCAAATGTTGCAAAAAAATGCTAGATGTGGCAAATATTATACAAATTAAAACGCATATATTTAAATTTATATTTAATTCGTTATTTAAAAATGTGTCCGACAGTTTAAGAAACACATTTAATTATTTCCCAGGCTTGAAAGGGTTAATATTCGTTTAGGTAGGCCACCTAATTGCAACACGAGGCTGTACTCACACTTGCCCACCTATTGTGCATCTGCAAGCCACTTTGTAACCCTCCTCTACCTCAGTGCTTCCTTTTCATACCGTTTCTCTGACAATCTGTGTAATATCTGCTGTCTCTTCTGTCCTTTTAATAGGTCTTCTCACTACTTTCTTTGTCTTGGCTGCACATGGAGGCGCTGGGAGTCCCAGAAATGAACCATAAGTCCAAATATGAATTGCTGCAGATGGAAATGACAACCTTCTTTTGACTATAGTGACTGAAATAAAGTGAAAACCACATATTTGGCATCTCAGCATGCATCCAAGATTTTTAAGCTTTTCTAATAACACTTTTCCTCACTAAAGCATCATCTCTTGAGCGTCATGACTCTTGCCCAGAAAAGAAAATCTGCCTCATCCAGCTGGATTCAGAACAGATTTCACTGACAATCCTGAGTCACTGCATGAAAGGATAGTGCGCTTCTTAAACACACAGATCACTTTTTGTCTGTATATGTTCGGTATGCTCCAAAAAATTTAAATAAATTCTCACCTAGCCAATAAATCTTTAAGTACGCTTCTTTTGGCAGAACGTTGGAGCTGTGAGGTTGGTGAGATTTTAACTACAGCTGTTGTCCTCTGGGTAGAAACAAGTTATGATTTTTTTTCTCTTTGTGCAACGCATTGCTCTGAAGTGTAAAATGTGCTGGTCTTAGTTTGATAACTGTTTTGGAAGCTGCCACAACGGAACAAGATCTGGTAAAGCTTTATGCTCAGAGATTTAGAGTGAATTCGGTAATGCAGACTAACAAAACCACTAAAGCCTTGCAAAGCAGGCCAAGAAAAACAATATGCCAGTGGCTGCACTTTATTGAAGTGTCATGCAGCTGTGGAGTATGGAGGCTCTGCGCCGCTGCTAATTCTCTCTGAAGTTATTGGCTCACATTGTGAGTATGCTCCCATGGGCCGTGTTTTTATGTTTTCGGTTTTTCATTGTGTTGTGCTTTAGCTCAACAGCTATATTTAGCTGCAGAAATCCCCCAGCTGGGGCGGAAGGCAGGTGGCTGTGGCACCTCTGGGTGAGTAGAGGGGAGAAAAGTGGACCAGTGACATCACACCGTGAGCTTGTCATGCCAACATCAAATCCAAGGCCCTCGGGGCTAAATAATGAAGCGTGAGAGGGCCAGGTGGAGAGGACGGGTGACTCCTCTGACATTACCTCTGTTCAGTGAGCTCCTGTGGTCGCTCTGACTGCTGCTGTGCGCATCAAAGGGCTGTCTTGTTGCCGTGTGGTCCCCCTGTTTTGCCTCTCAGCGAGCAGCCTGTTTTCTCCCAGCAGTGACAGCAGCCAGTGATGTTTTAAGACTGAGCTGATTTGCTTCTTTTTTTTCCCCCTCAGCTCACTTGGGTTATTTGACTGTCGGGGAATTTCTCATTGGGATGCAAGGCATGAAAGGCAAGGTGTGGGGGCATGGCGGGTAGATGAATGTTGCTTAGATCAGTAATTAACCAGTCATTCAAAGTCAAGTGCTCATTTTCAGATGGAAACTTGGGATTGTGAGGACAAGTCAAATACCTATATCATGCCTGTCACATGAGCAATCAGTAATCCAAAATAGTAATATTTTCACTCAGCTTTTTGTCCATTGTTTTTACATCACCGTGGTTAAACGTTGACCAATAATTGTAACTAACTAACATGGCTTATCAGAGTGCTTCATCTGACAAGTACATTTAGTCTGAAAACACACAAAACATGTAAGCTAATACTAAAACTGAGCTAAATATTCAGATAATAAATAATCATTATTTTTGAGATATTTTGTCATTTTTTCTTGAGTCTGAGGTTTCTTCCTGTATAAAGGGAGTTTTTCCTTCCCACTGTTACCAAGTGTTTGCTCATAGAGGTGCCGTCTGAATATTTGGTTTTTCTCGATGTTATCATAGGGTCTTTACCTTACAATATAAAACACCTTGAGGCAAATATTGTTGTGATTTTATACGATACAAATAAACTTAATTGAACTGAAATTTTTCTACTTTTCCATGTGAAAAGTAGAAAAATAACAGTGCAGCCCTGCAGGTTCCTAATAGTAAATGTGTTTACCGTGCGTCCCGCCTCGTTGTTGTGCCGATTCATTGCTGAGCGAGCGTCTGGACGGTTTTCTCTGGCGTCCGCAAACTCCCTGGACACCAGCACCCCAAACTCTGCATCCTCGCTGCAGCCACCCCACTTCCAGCCCTCCCCTGGAGGGCCCTTGTGGTGGGAGTCGCACCCACACATGGTCGACGTGCCCTCGGCACATGAGCGTGTCACTGCAAATGCAACGCCCGCTGAAGCTATAGCATGGACGAATGCTGACTCTCTGGTTGCTGAAAGAGACGGACGAAGACAGACAGAAAGACAGAGAAAAGGAGAAGGAAAGGAAGTGTGTCAATCTTGTGGTAAACGTAGACAAGGTGATCTTTACTACTGCCAACATCCAGACAGATGTATTGAAAGGGATACCTTCAGGCGCTAACCTTTTAACACAACATTTCATCTTTGAGAAGGCACATTAATGGACAGGTATTTGCCACTGTAATAAAACAAGAAGCCTATCCTATAGAAGAACACCTTAACATCTCCTATATACAATATAATATAAACAATGTTTAACTATGTTTACACAGTTCTGATCATCATCAGTGACGTGGAAGAACCACCAAGGAACCTAACAACAGAGTCCCTGCAGTGACATCAGCCTATTGTAGTCTAACGCTCAGTGGGATCTAAGTGACCCCCTGTCATCCCTGAGGTGTGCTGCTTTGCATCTGGATAGTGTTTCAGGAATGTTGTTACCCCCCCACCCACCCACCCATTCCTGTTTACAGCCTAAGGCCTTCTGGTGAAACCTAGCAGTGTGTCAGGCTGTTTCTTCTTCACTCTGATGGATGGAGTTACGCTGTCTTTGAAGACAACAGCTTATTATGTAACCAGACACCATTGTTTCACAATCACAGCACACTTACTGTGGCTAACCCATTACACTCCACCAGATATATAAAAACACACACTATGGGTGTCCCGTGACATCGATTCCAAAAAAAGGTGAGGGGCTTTGTTAAATGAAAACACAAACAGATCCAATGATTTCAGAGCGCTTAACCTACATTTAAATAAAAAGACATTTTTTAAAGTTTGATACCAGCAGTGTTGGGCAAGTTACTTTGAAAAAGTAATTAATTGTAGTTACTAGTTACTGCTTCAAAAAGGTAACTGAGTTACAAGATTCTAAAAGTAATTAATTATTTGATTTTCTCTCTACATTTCACCTTTAAAAACGATTTCCTTTGCCTTGTTTGGTATCATTGTTTTCAGCACAACCTCACGTGTCTGAATTTACAGTTATGTTTTCATTTTGGCATACTGTATTAACACAATTGATCTAAAATCAGACAAAAAACATAAAATCTGAGTAGAAAAAGTTACATTTTTTACTGTAACAACCACAAACATATTTAATGAATCATATTTCATAACTTTAAATGCAAATATAAATTGTCAATTTTAAAATATTCACAAGTTTTGCAAACAACAAAGTAATTTGCAGCCATTTACCTCTTACCCCTTTTTTAAATAACCATTTCAAACTATTTACAGAACAATCAGCTGTTCTGCTCAATAAGATGCCACAAAAATTATTTGTGCCACCAAAAAAATAATTTCTGTCCACTATAAAGGAGAACATCACAGCCTGATACCTGCAGGTCTGACAGCAGCAGGTGTATCACTCCTGTTTCTACCTGGAGACAGCAGTCGCCTCATTGTTCTGACACACAACACAAAACTATCCACAACACTACACGCTAACTACACAAGACAACACATTAACTACACACTCCAAACACGCTAAACGTCACAAATCTCTCACATCTCAAAACTCGCTCACTCCTAAAACGTCCCCCTCTTCCTAAACAACCAAATGTCATGTTGTCATATCATTTTTTGATTGGTCAACATGGTACATTTTTCCACCAACACGAACGGGCTGTTTTTTGTTCTTGCTAGCGCTGTCCTTAGACAGTAATCCTGGCGAAACTATTCAGGAAAAAAACGCCGCTTATATATTGTTTATATGTAGCGCCCAGATTACTTACAGCTACTTCTGTGCAACTGATATGAGATGCGGTAAGACAGTTCTGCTCAGTTGCCATTTCATATGACACCAAATGATTTCTCCCTGCACCAAGACTCTCTTACTGTGGAGCTATGATGCTGCAATATCCCCAGAAAGTGCTAAAAAGGGTGTTCCCCAAGTGTTGGCTGAACAGAAGCACCTGTATTCAGCATTAATGGTGCCCTTACAGATCTCCAAGCTACCTATTCTATGTGCACTGACGCCTCACTGCATCATTATGGATGCTAACCTTTGAACTGTGTACTAATAATGTTGGATGTTCTTCACTTTACCCTGGAGGCCGTGATTTTCCCATAATTTTCAAAAGGAATAAAACATTTCTGATGGCCCGAACACGGGGACAGTTTTCCAGTTTGCATAAATCTTAAATGAACTCAGGCACAAACAAGTTGGCAACATCAGGAACATTTCCAATGTTGCCTCTGGGTTATTAGAATCGTTATAGTATTTTATAGTCCTTGTCCCACCTTTTTTTTAAAGCATGTTTCTAGTTTTGGATCCAAAATAAAGAGATTTCTCTCTTAAAAAATCTGAACCATATTGCTTTAACACCATTAATCAATAGAATTGGAAATCATTGTGCAACATTTTTATTTACATTTTACCTAGCATCCCAGCTTTTCCCCCTCTATGATAGTTATACAGAACAGACCTTCAGGCTTTCAACAGCTGGAATATCTGATCTACGGAATTGCACGACTTGAGTTTTGAAATTTGTATGAACACGACTGGAGAATTAAGCTCCTATTTTGCTGACCACACTGGCAACTAGAGCTAGAAATTCTTTGATGGATCCACTGCCAAAAACTCAATGAGACCACTTAACAAGCCACAGACAAAGTTTACAAATGTTTGTCTGGAAGCTAGCCATATTTTCCCCACCCACAATTTGACTGCAGTCAGTGTCCCAAAACCAAAACCCTTTTTTTATGTTGGCTGCTTTTGAGAAAATCTTGAGAAATACAGACAGTGAAATAACGTTAATCAAAACTATGTTTGTTAATTATTTTTGATATCTTTTGTAAAACTGAAACAATAAGAAACTGTTTGTCTACACATTTCATGTTTATTGTTTATCCCTAATGAAAAGAGGTTTTCATCTAAATGTCCAATGAACAACACTGGATGACATACTGTCCTCATGTTGGGCATCCCTACTTGCCCTGGCAAGCCTAAGTGGGCCCTCCAAAACAGGGGCCTGTGAGCCCCGGGCCCCTGGAGCTCTGGCTGTTAGCCAAGGCTAGCGCTGCTCCTGCTACCTGCTGGGCCCATCAATCCGCCTTTGTTTCCCTTGTGTCACACCGTATTATCCACACAAAGGGTCCAGCGACTCGCGCCCCCACAGCCCAGCTCTGCCCGGAGCTGGCATTCCCTAAACTCCCCAAGTCCCCCTCCTCTCCCACCAGCCACCCCTCCGCCAACACCCTGATCCGAAATCCCATACACCACCACCCACTGCAGCACCTCAACCCCCCACTTCCTCCAGGCATCCACCAACAGCACCACGGCAGCCAACCCACAGCTTAAGGTGGCCAGGGTACTGGTTGGTAGCTCTTGCTTCCCTAGCATGAGCTTCTCCATTAATCACTCCCAAAGTGGCACACTCTTCATCCTTACATCCTTACCTCCTTCCCTCCATCCTATCCTTCCCTATCCCACTGTGCACACTCGGGCTAGGTTGGGAGAGATCCCCTTTCAGCCTGTTTTCATGACAGAGTCAAAAGGGCGTGTGAATGGGGTGTCCGTGGGAGCTGGACTGTGTGAGGCGCGCACTGGCCTTCATGCACAGTAGGGGTTGAGCGGAGCCCCCCGGCCCTTTTCTATTGCCTGTAATCTCATTTGGCCTCCCCTCTCCCTTTTATTTGACAGAGGAGCTTGGACTGCTCACACTGCCCATTTCTGCCCAGATTCCTTCGCCTCTGACACACAGGCTAATTCATTTCCAATCAGCAACCTCACACGCAACACACAAACGTCTGCCTTTATAATTAGGGACTGGAAGGCCTTAAGCAGGACACCTGTGTGCCTTGTTTCCCACTGTCAGGTCTGGTGGGACTGCCTAATTGACGCAGATAAGTGTAGGGATAGTTTACACTTAGCATTCTGCGTGTACAGCACCTGATGGATGCCTCCAGTACATCAGCTGTCAGGTTTTGTTGAGAGATTTACCGCACTGACCTTCTTTCATGTACGAGTGTGTAAACAAGGTTGGGAAAAACCAAAAAAAAAGCCCATGAGTTTGAAGATAAATGCAATATAGAAGATAAAGATGACTAATGTGTCAGTGCTTGTACCTGCACTCATTTCTCAGTGCAGCCAGGAAAGGTGGATATTATTGTAATTGCCCTAGTTAGTCGTTTGTCAGCAAAAGCCCAGGCAGCTCAGGCAGTGCTGAGCCTTAGGGTGGAAAGTGTTAAACACCAGTTTTGTAACAGCTTGCAGTAGCCTTACCTTCAAAGACTGCATTTTAAAGTTGGGTGTTGTTTGGAAGAGATTATTTAGATCCCTCTAGATCATTTATTTTACTCAGTAAGCCTGTATGTCAGTACAAAAATCAGCATGAAAGATATAGCAACCTAAAAAAAAGTCCTACCTTTATCTAGAACAGGGCCGAAAATGGCCAGGTTGTCCTTGATGGTGGTGCAGTTCCATCGGCGACCCCTAAACTGGTGCTGGCACTCTTGGATCCCCAGCTTGACACCTTCAGCGACACTGGGCATAATCTCAATGTAGTTGCGACAGAAACGCAGCTGTTTCGGTACGAGGCCGGGGATAGAGCCACACAGGATTGGTTGGGAGCCCAAAGATGAGTACTGCTGCCCCAGTGCCAGGGACCTGTGTCACAGAGAGAGGGAAAGCATCGTTAAGTGAGATCAGCACCTCTGTGTTAAACACACAAGTGCAAAAAACACTTATTTATTATTTTTTCCTGAGGATTTGCATCAAACCTCAAGACATATTTAGCAAAAGTGCCCAAATAATTGTACCCATTGAATAAATTTGGTACTGCTATCTGACTTTTAGGAACTTTGACATTTTTATTGTAGGTTTTATAAGCAAAAAATAAATAAAACTAAGCTGTACATTTCTCACATTAGCTTGGTATTCTTTCAAAAGCCCGTCCCTGTGCTTCCCTCACATTTTCTGTGCCCTCTGTGAACTCAGTTCCACAATAGCAAGAGTGGTAACCTGCCAGGGAGGCCTCACTGAAAGGCAACCTGCTCTGTGAGTGGAGACTGCTTCTGTATTCATTAATCTCCCATTACACTATAAATGTAGCCCTGAGAGAGTACAATGATTCATACCTGAGTGTTTTATTGATTTATATTGTTTATACTAAGAGCTCCTCTTTATTTTGCTTCCTTTTTTCTCACCAGAGAGAGGAGGCTAATAAGCCCACTTCAGGGCAGGGATACAAGCTATTAGTACTGACTTCTCAAAGTGTTTCCACTTGTTAGCTTGCACAGATCTGCTGATCTAACTGATAACACACACAAGAACCTGTCTGTTTAGTTTGGGGAAAAGCCCCCTTGTGTGATTTCGAATATATGAAAACACCTGCCCTTGCAGTACCGTCATTAATTTGCGGTTGTCCTCTGGAGGTGATGTGTTAAGAACACTGATGGTGATGCACGAAGATGGCACGTCTGAGGCGATGCGCCTCACCAGAGGACTCGTGCAGATGTGTCTAAGCAGGGATTAATCACTGCCAAACAGTCGAGCTCAGCATGTGTTGCCAGAAACCATTATAGTTTCACTCAGGTAATTAATTTTAATTGCTTTCTATTTCTCTTGAAATAAAAGACAGAGAGAAGACGTGTGTGTCATGCCCATGTTTTAACACGCTTTTCATGTTGACAAGCTCAAACAAAATTTTCTTCCAGAAGCTCTCTTAGATGCCAGATTTATATTTCTTGTTTATTTATTTCTGTGCATAGCCTTTATCACCCCATGAAAAATATGTGTTTGAATACAAGCTTGCCCAGCTGGTAATTGTTTTGCAATGTATGCATGTGATTTGAGTGTGTACAGGGTAAGAGGTGTAAAGATGTGCTGGCAGTTCACAGGAGTCTGCAGACTCTGCAGCACTTAGCTGAGTCTGACTGGACAACGTGGCGCTGGAGGCCCTTAGAGGATCACGCGGGAACAATTGATGCCGATCAGATCAGAGCGCCACTCGGGATGACCTCAGGACACCCGCAGGGCGCAACCCAATCATAGCAGGCACTGACTCTGACAGATGAGTGCAGTGCAGTGCCCCACCCGAACACACAAGTGAAGCCATTGAAGTTGGGAAGAAAAAAATTCGGCTCTTAGATACTCATGTGCACTTCTACATGAAGCTCCCACCAAACCCCCTGCACCCACATCTTCCTTCTTTATACTGTTTTTCATCTAAGCATTGGTAGCCTTAGATTAATATTTTGCCAGGTATTAAGAGTTACTAGCGGAGGTAGCATTCTGGCACATGAAACTGTTTTGCTTTTACAGACGACCTAATGTAATTTGATCATCCCATAATCAGCTGAGCCAATTGTGTTGCTGCTGTGAGGTTTGTGACTGACACAGATACACAATAAACAATTCTTATGTTTCACGTGGAAGCTCATAACAAAACTTGATCTGATACTCAAAAATTATCGAATGCTGCTACGCACAAGGAAAAATACGCTTGCTGTCTATTAATAACTCAAAGTTAACATGCCATTTTCTCCGATTTCATGTTCCCATGCGGAGCTAGTAATTTGATAGTGCTCATCAATCTCCATTCATGTTCTTGTCTTGAGTTTACCCAAGCGAATGTAGCCACATTATCTCATCTGCCAGTCCCAATCCCACCAACATCAGAGTTCAAGTGTTGCTGACTTCACTCCGTCTGGTGACTGAGTGACTAAGGACCTTAATTACACTGTCTGCTAGATGGGTTGCTGCCCATTAATCTCTCAGTCATGGGATAGACCAGAGAGGATGATGAGCCACTAGATGAATGCTGGTGTCACATGCTCCCCAACAACATCAATGAGCTACCTCAAAGACAAATCTCTCTTGCTCAAGTCAGATATTTATGAATCAGACCACTGTGCCATTCAAAAGGATGAATCTGTTTGCTGTGGTGGGCAGGATTTCTGATGGAATCAATTAGCTAACCACATGGGACTTTGTGGTGGACATAGCGTGTTTAAACAACAGGCTGTGGATCTGCCAGGCTATTTGTCTTTGTTTGCAAAGCATGTGCCTCGCTTGATCCTTATGGATAGATAAGATGAAAGGGATAAGTTATTGGCTAGGTGTTAATGAGAGTTACAAGACTCAATGTGCAAACAGACACACACGAAGATGCATGCACAGAGACCGCATGTGTGCACTGCTGATCCTGCCCGCTTTGCCTCACTTCTCGGAAGCTACGCGCAACGTGTCTCAACCGAGTGAGGGAGCAGCAGACGCAGAGACCTCCAGAGAGGCAGAATGCCGGGGGAATCTGCTGCAGGGGATGAGACGAGCAGAAGAGCAGCAGCAAACGGCAGGGCTTGGCAGGTGCATGCCCGGGCACATCCGTGTGGGGCCTCTTCTGGCCTGGGGGTTTACAGCTTGGTTGGGGGTTTTCTCAGTATCTAAACCGGACTGATGTGAAAGTATGATGGGCCACTGGAAACCACAGAAATGAAGCAAAGGAAACAAAGGGATTCCACCACACACCTTGCTGAGAAATGGGAATTCACGCAATCAAGACTATAACACTGTCAACAAAAACTTTTGGCTCAGCCACTCCCAGTGCAATAAAATCACTACTGCAGTCTCTGCTGCTTGGGGAGGAAATTTAGGTGCAAGGCATGTCTTTATTGCACATTTTAGTTCTTGTTTTGTTTCTGAGCAAGCTCAACCTGAATAGAAGAGTCGACTCATGTGCTGTGTCGTGGGAGGTCTGCGTTACAGGGTTCAGTGTGTGACAGCTGCCTATATCCAGGGACACGAAACGTACCAGGTGACCTTCTGAACTTGTTGAAAACAACATGACATTTGACCTCATTGCCGTTAGCACGATGTGTCCACAGAAGTTCATGACCAGGGCCGATAAGCACAAATCTAAGCAGCTCGGGAGTGTTGCTCTCCAGCCTGTTTGCCTCGTTAAGCAAATAGAGGGTCATTATAGGTGAGTGCCCACAGGGATATGAAGGTGTAATCAAATGTGACTTCAAAATGGCTTGTCAGACTTTACCAGTGTTGAAATACACAAATTTACAGATTAGTGTGGACAAACCTGCCGCGGGCACCTTACGCTGTTTGAAGACTCATTACATTGGTGTGATAATTCTAGACAGTCAAAGACAGCATGACTTTACAAGAGCATGCACCAACAGAGGTCATACAGAAGAGCTGAAATTCAAATTTCATAACTATTGAAGTTTATCTGTCAAATTTGGCACAGATCGCTACACTGTCACTTTGTGTAATCAACAAAATATTATTCTTTGTGTTCAATATGTTAACGTTAGGGTTACTAATGTATCACTCAGCAATAATAGTGTCACTCATATTAATCTGTATGTTTGTTTATTGTGTTTTAAATCTTTTCTGTAAATTTGTCAGGAAGAGCTAATCCCAGATTTTGTGTTTCTCAGTAATTAAGCAAAATTGTTTCATTTTAATATGTAAGGAAAATGTTATTTAGGTTATATTCTAAGTTTTATTTTTATTATTTCTTTATTTACATATGGTGTAAAAAGATGTGCTTTGTCTTGACTAGAAGCATACTTTTGTGTACTTATATTTATTAATTATAACTATTTGACACAATCTGAACAGAGGAAATTAGCCAAGCTGTTTCATCTAGCTTGTATGTTTTTAGCTTTAAGCTAACAGATAGCTCTGTGTATAGTCATCCCACTTTTAAAGTAAAAGCATTACAGTATCGTATACTACACCTTTAATTGTTCTGCTTTTGGCTTATAGCCACAGTGAAGCGTTATTTTAACAACAAGTTGGGTTCTCTTAGCGATCTCTACCATGTGTTGGCCTATTGTTGGTGTGCTAAAAGCTTCTCCGGGGGCAACAGTTAACTACACGCTCAGTCACATTTTGCTGTTTTGCTAAAGCTGAAAAACTAAAACTTAACTGATTAGTACTAGAAGTACAATGACCCAAGCATGTTGTAATTTTACATTGTTGATCAATGTTTAAAGCTGATTGATGATTACAGGCTAGTGTATTTTATGTTTATTATATGTTTTGCTTGTAAAATGTGGAAAGTAACAATTGCAGCTATAGTTTGTAAGTCTAGTTAGTTAGTATGCTAACCGTGGCTGTGCTTGTATATATGCTGGTAATGATTTTATTGGTTTCTAATTCCAACACAATCTTTATTTACAGTACATGGCAACAGATGAAATGCTAAATTTGCATTAAACATATTTGTAAATGTCGTATAAGATGTCAGAGAGCAGGTAGAACTAATGGTGCATTTGTCTTCTTTAATTATAGAGACCTGCAAGTATTTTTGAGTTTTTATGTTTGACTCTGTAAATTATTCCAACTAATCAAATTGTTCTCCTCTTGGGCAGTAAACTAGGAAAGTGCAATATGCAAATCTTTAGTATACCTACAACAGTGGTATACTAAAGATGCTACAGATGAAAGATTTGTCATTTACAAACAGATCTGACGTTTTCTTCAAACTTTATTAGAATCTATAGAAATCCAATATATGTGCTCTTAGTGAGAATTGATAATAGGTACCCAGGCCAGTAATAACCACTGGTTTATGGGACTATTTGTTGTCTTAAAATATATCTTTTCCTCTTGCTTTATCGGTGTCCATTAATATGTAAGGCACAATT